ATAGCTGGTGCAAATATGTAGCTATGGAAAGTATGAATGCATGAATGGCTGGGTGGCTATGCCATTTTAGCATATTTTTCAAATTTAATCAAGGTCAAAATATGAAATTGGGAAACAGTAAAAAAAACCAATAATCCATCTCTTTTTCAGACTTAGTGACTCACTCTGTAATAATAGAGCAGGAGAGGGAAAAGGTAGTAATCTTACAGTAGAGGAAGGGGTCAAATGCCACCCTAACCAAGTGGCTAAGTCAACAAACATCATCAGGAGCATCAGTGGGCACTTGCTAAGTCCTAACGTGAGAGGCCAAGATGGGCACTCATCTCTGCAGTGTTCTTCCCAAGAAGCCGTAACCCAGCCTCATGACGAGTGAAGCAGCAGACAAAGCCAGACTAGAGGATATTCTACAGAACATCACGCTAGTATTCCTCAGATCATCAAGGCCTTAGGAGGCAGCAAGAGGGAAGGCTGAGAAACTGCCACAGACCAGAGGAAATGGGGCAGATATGCCCACACAAGGCAATGGGGTGCTCTGGATTGGACTTGGGATAGAAAGTGGGAGGGTTTAGTTCAACTGTTGCAATATCAGTTTCTCTAACAATGTACCATGGAAACATAAAGTGTTTAACAGTGGGGGAAACTGAGTGAGGGGTATATAGGATCTCCCAATAATATCTTTGCAACTTTTTGTAACTCTAAAACTATTTGAAAATAGAAAGTTGATTTAAAACAAGTAATAGATAACAGGATGCACTTAAGAGAAGTATTAGGACTTAAGGGAGAGAATTTGCAGTGATCTGGTCAGACAATCAAATAGCATCATATGGTGGTCATGGGCTTTACAGGTTAAAGCATCTTGTCATCACAGTAGATTCTAATATGAGTAAACAAAATTAAATTGAATGATTAATTGCATTTTGTCCCACATCTTTCCGTAATATTTATTGCTGTTTTCAATTCTGCTTTTGAAACTAGAAAAGCGTGTTGGACAGTGGTGCTGTGCACTGTGGGTAGTGAGCTAACTGTAGCCAAAAACAGCTCTGAGCAGAGTAGGTCAGACCCTGCACTGCGTCTGGTTTCATGGACCTGCAGACTGATGGGCAGGGAGGGAGTGGGGCCTCCTAACAAATCCAGCCGTAATAATTAGAGCTACCACTTATGTACAGCATGCTAATGTGCCAGACAGTGCTCCAGGGGTCTCATTTAAGAATCGCATTTAACACTCAATACCCTAGGAGTTTACAACTATACTCTTATTTTAGAGATGTGGTATTTGTCATCAGGGAAAGTAAATTACTTTATCAAAGTTACAACTTAAATGAGCCACAAATATGTGACTTTTCTACTAAATCAGTAAACAATGAAATTCCATTAGGGTAAATGCTTAATTACATTTAAGCAAGGTACAACTATAATATCACTAGTCTTGAACAATACACTGAGAGACTATACATGATCTATATCATCAAAATATTCATTAGATTAAGTATGTGAAAGTGCTGTTGAACACTATATTATAAATATCAGTCCTTTCCTATATTTATAGATTAGTGTACATCTGTTTTCAATTGGCTCTAAACTGGCTTTTGCTGTTTGTGTTTTAGTGGTTAGACTCCATGAGAATTATTATGGCAATTGAAAATTGCATAATAAGCTAGTGCCAAAAGTAAAGTTTAACCCCTTTAGGATAGGATAAGTAAATTTTGGTCAATAACAAGTTATTCCAGATATAAAAATGTATGGCATGTGTTAATGAATCTCCTTTGGAGTTATGAATAGAACAGATTTTCTCTTTTTTTAATTTATTTTATTTTTTTATTTTTGACAGGCAGAGTGGACAGTGAGAGAGACAGAGACAGAGAGAAAGGTCTTCCTTTTGCCGTTGGTTCACCCTCCAATGGCCGCCGCGCCCAGCGTGCTGCGGCCAGCGCATCGCGCTGATCTGAAGCCAGGAGCCAGGTGCTTCTCCTGGTCTCCCATGCAGGTGCAGGGCCCTAGCACCTGGGCCATCCTCCACTGAACTCCCGGGCCATAGCAGAGAGCTGGCCTGGAAGAGTGGCAACTGGGACAGAATCCGGCGCCCTGACCGGGACTGGAACCCAGTGTGCCGGCGCCGCAAGGTGGAGGATTAGCCTATTGAGCCACGGCGCCGGCCATAGAACAGATTTTCAAAAACTAATTATTGAGCCTATGGTTATAGGCTTTATTGAGGCCCTGTTTATATACTTTATTCAGCTTATGGGTAAGACTCTGTTTCCATTATCACAGATAATAATTAATGGACTTGTTGAAAATCATAACCATTAACTTGAAGGCTGATATATGATAGCCAATAAGGAAGACTCTAAGTGCCTCATGCCTAAAATTTACCAGCAAGAATTGAGGGAGGCACTGTCAAGAATGAGAGTCCAGAGAGATGGAGACAAAGCAAAGAGGTGTGGAAAGGATTTGAAATATTATAGCCATCTTTTTCTACACTCAAGGAAGCAAAGCAATTAAAAAGGGCTGCCATTTTGTATTGCCAGGGAGCCATGCACTGCCAAAGAAAGTAGGGCTTTGTTAGACAACAAACACTCAAGCTTGTAATCTAATATGAGCTATGATCCAGACACATGAGCAAGATTCTATTAAGTGGTGATAGCAAACAGTCATGTGCTGCCTGGATGAATCACTCAGTATATTATTAAGAAAGGGACTTGGGTTCAGACTTTTGACTACTGATAATAAACGAATGGCCCAAGAGGACTTACTCCTGTGTTTTCCTAGGATGCAGGTCAGAGTACATTCCCAGGAGTCCCTTTTATGTAGATGTGTACTCTGAATTGCATTTAAGTCATACTTCTGAAATAACATCTATTCAGCATGCACATCACATGTGGACCTGAACTGGATTTTGCCATTATACTCAATTTCAGTCCTGTCAGTCTTCCTGTGAATCTATAGTCAGTTGCAAGTTGGAGCCAGGCAACAGAGCAAGGGCAAGAGCAAGTCCATTAACTCAATGAACAAACTTCCCTGACAAACCAGGGATTAAAAGCATCATGACCACATGTTAAAAGTAGAGTGAATTGGCCACTTTCACTTTCACTTAATATGTTATTTTTTCAAACTCAGATCACTAGAATAAAATAATTCTTTTAGTCTTTTTTGAGATTTTTTTGTTCCTTTGAGTTCCAAAATCATAGCTGAATTTACTGGGCTTGCATTTATACCAAATTACTTTTCCCAATTTAAAAAGTTTCCTCACACATAAGTTTATCACATAAGATATGATGTCTAAAGTACTTGCCAGGAAATGTCATCTTCTCGTGAAAACTGAAATCACAATTATCTCTGGCAATGATGGACAGATTATGCCATAGAAAAGATAGAAGAGACACCTGAAAGTCACAGATAAGCCTCACATCGCATTTCAGCCAGAAATTTCAAATGTATCCCTACAAACAGTTGACTTTCTTCAAAAGTTGTGGTAAACTGCAAAATATTACTTGAGTTCCATTATATTTTTATGTTGAAAATCGTAAGCTATTTGTTAGGAAGTTGGAAACAAAAAAGAACATAAAAAATGTTCTCTATAATTAGTAGCCCCTAAAAGTACATTTAGTTTACACTGTAGCTACATTTCACACTGCAAATAAATACACGCGTCTCTTACTTAATGAGTGAAATTTTGTTTTGTGCTAGTATGTCACAACCTCACTTACATTAGGCAGTGTAATATGTTGTTTACAAAGAAAGAGATGCAGAGGTTGAGGGAACTCTTCCTCCTCAAACTAAATTTTCTTAGCAAAGGAAATGAGGATGGAGGATGGTAGTGAAAAGTCTGGGTAGAAATTAAAGGAAAACACCTAAAAATGTTAAGGAAGCTGAAACAGTTGAGAGAACTGAAAATGCAGGTTTGGTGACGAGGCTGCCAGGGAAAGGATCCTTGCCCAGTGCCGGGTGAAGATCCTGGAAGCCCCCGTGCCCAACTCTGACAAGGTCTTTGGATTTCAGGATTCTCTTCCTCTAAACTTCACTCCATGTTAGACTCAGGAATCAGAACTCAGAAGCTACTCTTCGATCCCTGCCAGTTTAAACCAGTTGCCTCTTACAAACTTCCAGGCAGGTCCACACTGAGAGACCAGGTTAGGTTTGGGTTCATCAATCTTTGGTTCTATGTAAAACTCCTTTCTTTTGGGACCCTACCTGTTCCCTTGGACACCACATTTCCTCATCTTCTCTCATTTTATTACACTTAACTATTGGTATCCACAATTATGAAGGAGCCCAGAACACTAGTATCCAGCTCACTTATGGTTTTAATTTCTCTTGGTCTACTTTACCTATGAACCTGACAGTATACAGACAGTGATTTAAAATATTGAGCAGAACGTTAAAAATACCCACTAAAAACTAACTGATGAGGTAAGCAAATGACCATCCTTGCATTCAGAGAAGGATATAGAAAATGTGAACACTGAGAAGTCATTCCTGTGTTTACTCAGTGTAAGGTTTCAGAGGAATGGCCCATTGCCATCACTGAACCACATAATCACCACAACATTCCATATCTGTGGGCCTTAATTTGACAATATACAGTAGAATAATAGTACTGGATGTGCCTTCCGAGATAACGTTGCCATACTGTGTGAAGAATAACGACAGGTTTGACAATGCAGGCTCCAGGAAGACATTTGTGCTGTCTCCAGAGTTTTCTGGATCCTGACATAACATGTGAGATCACAGCTTTTTGCTTTTATCATTTTGGGCAAGCCTGAGAGTAAGGAGCTCTTGACGTGGAATCCACAGCGGAATGACGTTATTCTGCTGCTTTCCCATCTCTCTTCCATTTTCTTCCACTCGCAGATTATCCCTTAGATTCATGTTACTACACACCCCTCGCTGCTCCTACTACGGTTTCAGACACAAGGACGAACGAAACTACCCAAGGCGCCAAGGAGGACCACGAAGCTGACAGCAGGCTGATCACACAAAATCAACGAGCACTTCCAACTTACAAGCTTCCCGGAGTTTCTCTTTGTCATAGTGGAATCCCTCGTAGTCTTGTAAACTGATTTTGTTCACGCGGATCCGCAGCCGATCTGGGACAGACTGGGGACTGCAAGACAAGAACCAAGTGGTCAGATGCAAGTGAGAGGTCAGAGTTGGGAGTCATGCACCTGCAGGGATTAGGACATCATGCTTAGGAGAAATTGTTCATATTGAAACATACTTGTGGGTTATTTAACAGAATACAGCAATTATCTGGAGAATGCATCTCCAGAAATCAGAACTTACTGAAAATGAAGTAGGAACATGTAAATAAGTATTTATGTGATTTTTCCATTAACTTATTAAAATTTTAATACTATCATGTGTTTAGTAACAGAGTAAATTAGATTCTACTCATATGAAATGGCGAGAAGAAAGGTAGAGCTGTTAAGACTTACAGGCAAACATGCCCCTAACAGCCAAACTCGCTCAATGGTAGCTTGGCCCTCAAAAGAGACAGAAAAAAAAAAAGACCTTTAAAATAGACTGGAAATCCTGCAAGCACAGGACTGAGATTGAAACAGTCACCTACCAAGGACAGTGTTGTGGCGCAGAGGGTTAAGCTGCCGCCTGCAACCCCTGCATGCCATAAGACTGCCTACTGGAGTCCCAGCAGCTCTACTCCCCAACCAGCTTCTTGCTAATGCACCTGGGAAAGCTGTAGAAAATGGTTCAAGCGCTCACACTACTGCCACCGAGGTGGGAGATCTGGATGGATCTTCTCTGGCCATTGCAGCCATCTGGGGACTAAATCAGTGGACAGAAGATCTTTCTTTCTCTCCCCCTCTCTCTTAGTCTCTCCCTCTCTCTGTAACTCTGCCTTTCAAATACATAAAGAAATCTTTTTTAAAAGCCACCTATTAAAATAGGCACCTCTAGTGAACATATTATAATAAATGCTACCTGTGAGTATTCTAAAATGACAAAACATTGAATATGCTCACTGTAATTTCATTAGGAATAGAATGAAGTATGGAACTCATGCTGAAAGTATTAAATCCTATGTGGTTTAGGACATACATTAAACAACTAAAAATGTTGTGCCAAACTTTCTGGAACATACTGTTCACCTTCACAATGTCTAACAAGATTGCCTGAATTTTCTCTCAAGTAGTATTTTCAATGTAGTCTAATCTCTATCATTATTTGAGTTAAACAACTTTTTCTCATCAACATCATTATGGATAAATACATTGATTTAATACATTAGTATCACACAATCCCTATTTGACCTCAAATCCTACCTTATGCTTAGATTTCATTGGTTGAATTTTCTCTAAAACAGGATTGTTTCTCACTTTTGGTGGTAAAAGTTACCAATGATTAAAGTAGAATAACATTATTCTTAATTTCTGTAAAGAAGGAAAAGAACAAAAGGAAGTAAAAATGAAAGGGAAGGTAGGGAAAAGGAAGGGAGGGGGAGGGAAGAGAATAGTAGGGAGGGGAAGAGAGGAGAGGAGAGGAGAGGAGACTAGGAGGAGGAAAGGAGAAGTAGAAATAAAGATGGAGTAACACTTTTAAAATCATAGTCAAGACACCTCTATTTACCCCATCTCAAACACACATACACAGAGCATGGACACACACCTATTTAATTTCACTGCAATCTGGAAGAGAGGGTGAAAAAAATTTCATTATCTTGTCTAAAGCTTCATTTTAAGGAAAAGTTTAGTAAGTTTCTCCATGTAGACTTCCACTCTAACCAACAAAAAATTAACACATGTATATCCAACTATAGACACTGCCAAACATTGAACGGACAATGAACAAAGTTGGTGTGAATGTTTAAGTAGTGATAGGACATCTAGCTTTACAGCATAATGTTTGGGAATTAGCAGAACAGACCATCTATATAATGCAAACCTACAATATTAATTATAGATTGAGGTGACTTAAGGTCACATAGCTACTAAGCGACAGCTGGGAACAGAGCTTTGGACTCTTCACTCATCAGTTTCATCCTCTTTCTGTTATACAATGTTCCCCTGAGAAGTCCAGACTCTTTTACCAATGGGTAAACACACATTGAATCCCATAGATTTGAGAGTAAAGACATGAAGACTACATTAGCAAAGTCAGATTATGTTCATATGGTGTTTGTGCTTGGCTTATTTTCTTTATTAAAAAAACAATAGACATGGGGATGGTTAAGTAAACTATGGTACCCTCAAACGACAGAACACTGTGGAAATATTACAAATGAGTGTATAGATCTATATTTATTCAGAAGGAAGTCTTCCAAAAACACATTGTTTAAATGATAAAAAAAAGTAATGAAAAATTATATATGGTATGAGCTCCTTGATGTGATCTGGAACATTTAGGAGTTTGTATATTCAAGTGTCAGAAGAAATATTCAATAGGCTGTACCAAGTGGTTATCTCTGTGTGGTGGGATCTGGGAAACACTGTACACTGAATTTCATCACTGAGTGTACTTTAGAGAAATAATATAGTGACCTTAAAATTATGTCAATATATAGACATATAAATAATTCAGGAAGATTTAAAATATAATGATATGCTAAAGTGTGTTAGTTGTTAGAAGTGAGTGGAAAAGAAAGATTTTAAGTGATGAACAATTGTCACACAGTGTTTTTACCAGATAACCCCAAATTAAGGGTGTCTGATTTCATTTTCAAGTTCACCCAAGTGATCTCTAAGGATTTTAATTAGCAACTAATTTCCTACAAGCACGAAGAAGGAAAGTAGAACGATAGAATTCCATGTCCATCATATCTGCAACCAGGGAAGGAAGAGAGCAGGGGCTAAATGAGCTCTGCTGATTTTCATTGTTTTTTACCGCTGTATAGTGTTTTTGGTGCATTTAGTCAAAGGTACTTTCTGCATGTGTGTTGTAATTATATATGTTATATATATATATATATATATATATATATATTCTTTTAATTCTGTTAATATAGTGAATCACTTTGGTAGATTCTTGATTGTTGAACAAACCTTGCACTCCCAGGTAAAACCTACATGTTTATGTTGTACTTTCATGTTAAGCACTCTCTAATTTTAAAAAAATTGATGATTTTATACTATTTAAACATTCAAATATTAAAAAAAAAGCAGCAGTTGCCACGTGGGCAATAGGATTCAGTGAGTGACGACAAACTATTCTATGCACTCCTACTCCATGGAGCACCCCTAACTCTGGGCTAATCAGTGTGTCCACATGTTTCTATCTCCCAAGTTCCTATATATGACCTCTAATTCTAACCCACACACCACTGCCTCTTGAACCATTGGCCTTGTGCCAACCTTCCTGATTTCCAGGAGGCACACAATCAAAACTCAACAGAACTATCATTTGAATTCAAATTTTCAGATCCCAAATTAATCCAGATACTATTTTTAAAATTTTTATTTGTATGTATCTCACAAATACAAGATTAGGAAAATAGCAATTCTTCCCACTGTACCCTCCTTCCACCCACTTCCCTCCCTTCCTCCTTCCTCTCCTGTTTAGTCTGAGAAAAAAAAAAAAAAAGAAAAAGAAAAATCGAAGGCAGGCATGAAGGAAGGAAGGAAGGGAGGGAGAGAGGGAGGGAAAGAACTAAGAGAACTGTTCCTCACCAGTCTAGACAAGGGCTGTCCTGTTACTGCTTCTTGAAGATGATTTCACTTTTTTCCCCCTTCCTCTTTTCCCTTCCTTCCTCTCCCCTCTTTCCTTTTATAAACTTAATTATCTTTAAAGAAGAACCCAAGGATGATACATCTTTTGCAAGCTCTTAGACATAACTTATGAGACATAATAATATCCTCCATTTAATACACTATAAGGAAGTGATTCTTGAGAACAAGTTTTACTAATAAGTCTCATGATACAACTCTTGGGGACAGAGGTCCTACATGGGAAGTTAGTGCACAATGACTCTTGTTGTTTATTTAACAAATAACACTCTTATGTATGACATCAGTGATCACCCAAGGCTCTTGACACGAGCTGCCTCAGCTATGGAAGCCTTTTGGATCACTAGCTTGACTAAGTCATAAGCAAAGTGGAAGTTCTCTCCTCCCTTCAGAGAAAAGTACATCCTTTTTGGGGGGCCACTTCTTTCCATGGGATCTCACTCACAGGTCTTCTTTATGTAGGACATGTTTTGCCAGAGTGTCTTGGCTTTCCATGCCTGAAATGCTCCCCCTCGGCTTTTCAGCCAGACCAGGGCTGATTCTGAGGTCAGAGTGCTACTTAAAGTTATTGTCATTCTATGAGTCTGCTGTATGGTTTGCTTCCCATGTTGGTGCCTTCACTTCTTTTTATTTCAAGATACTATTTTATTTCATTTGCAGAATAGCTAGCTGAATAAGACAGAATAAAACAGAGACTGCTCCGAATTACCTCTTAAAGCTGCCTCCTATCCACCTTCCTACATAGTCACTCTCCTGTTTTCAGCTCTCATCTTCCCCAAAACCTACAAAACCTCTCACTTTCCCAGCAGAAGCTTGATTAAGTTGAGTCTTCTGACCAGGGTATCTGGTATTCTGCCTTCTATCAAACTTTGCCTCAATTGAAGCCCATCAACAAAGTTCAGGACATTAGACTACAAATTCCATGAAGAAAAAGACCTTTGAGTCATTCTCAACCCTGGTGTAAACAGTAGGCATGGGAGGAAACATAGTAAAGTAGTTAAGAGCTCAGGTTCCAAGTCAGATTGCTTAGATGTGAGGTAAAGGTCTTCCAATTACTGGTGAATCAGGAAATCTTTGCTTCAGTTTTCTCACAGATAAAGTGGAGATAACAGAAATTTTCAATCTAGGGGGAAATTGTGAATATTACATGAGTCAACACATGTGTAGTATTTAGAAAAAATGCCTAGCATGCTATAAGTGCTCAATAGATATTAGCTATTATCATTATAATAATTGTTCTGAAATAGCTCTCTGCTGAACTAACAATAGCATTTGTTTCTGCCAAATATGGGAAGAAATGTAGAACACAGACTGGACTTCCTCTGGGGGATATGGCCTACCTTGGCTGGTGTCATGTTATTTTACAATCGTTGATCTTCTAATCTGGTATTTTATAAGACCAACAAATGACATGAAAACAGACAAG